AGGGGGGGGGAGAAAAGTGAGAGACTGGCGTGTAATTGTCCAAGATCCGTTGCAAAAAAATGACGTCTGAGACGCATGAGCCTTCTGTTGTGACTAAGATTGACGAGATCCCTGGCAGTTTTTGGTGTTTTTTGTTTGTTTTTGTTTTGTTTTGTTTTATTATTCAAATGTGAGTGGGGTTAGAATCTGTTAGGTCCCCTGTGACACCTTCTTCTCAGATAGGCAGCTGTCTAGTTAGTCAGACGCTTGCTTTTGAAATGTGGGGTTTTTTGGGGGTTTTTTGGTCATCTTTTGTTAGTGTTAGTATTTGGCACCCCTTGGGGTACAATTTATAACGTTTGTTTTTAGATACGGTACGCTTCGCTAGAGATTCAACCTCGCACGCAGGAGACTTTAAAACCCTATCCGTATGTTGGGTTTTACTATCGTATCCATACGACGTGAGGAACTCTGTGCCATCACTTTCCAAATTAGGAAAATTACCCATTAATTCGATCTGTACGCTTTGCATAGCAGTCTGTAAAAATGATTTTTTGAGAAATATTGAAAGTTTCAAAGAGATCTTCGTACTAGAAGTATTGTAAAATGTGAAGAGTACAACCCCGGGGGTACAAAATGACCCCAAGACGTACGGATAGAGTTAGATAAAGTTAGCCCAAGTTGACTCTGACAGGTAGGATTAAATTCCTAAATGATAATCTAAACCGTGTCAATGGTTACACACCAGATTTGAAACCAATTCTGCGGGTAATAAGATGTGTCACGACGCGGTGGAATGAGGCGCTCGTCAATTTTTGGGCATGTGGGGTTATTAGTATAATCTTAAAGTGTGTTCTATTGTCTTCCTCAAGATGTATAAAGTACCCATTAACCATTAGTCTTAGGTAGGAGTCGAGATATTTGCGACTGAAGAAAGAAGGGGTTGCTTGGCTTCTGAGGTAAATTTGCGAGAAAATGGCGACCAAAGTTTGGCAACTTTCATAGTTTGAAAGTCCTCGAAAACTGAAAATCTACATTTTGCGCGCCTTTAATCAGCGCATTTCAGTAAAATCCACTCCGAAATTGGTTTAAAAATGAACATAAAAGGTGTTGAGCCAAGAAAGAAATTCAATAAATTTTGGTTAACCGGTAGAAAAATGTTGTTTTCTTCGATTTCATTGTTAAAACGAGCGCCTGATTTCACCACGATGCCTCACAGATGTTAACCCCCGCACTACGGAGCTAGACACTTTATTTCAGCTTATTAATTGCTTGGATTATAGAGTACGTTTGGTTAAACTTCAAAATATTCTCAAAGTAAACGAAAAGCACGGGAGTTAAAATACACTATCGAACACTAAAAAAATAGTTTTAAATTTTAAAAGGTTTGTTTTAATTTTTTTTTTTTATTGTACGGAAGGAGTATTATTCTGCTATTGTGTTCTTTAT